ATTTTTATACATTTGGAAAAAGTTTGTAAAATGTTTGGAGATTTCCAGTTTCCTGGATATGGTAGTTATGAAGTAAAACTATGATTTCCTAAGTATAAATGAATCATTTCTAAGAGTCCTTTAAATTTGTCTTGAATTACAGGTTGTTTACAAGTCTGCAGTTAAGATTATAAACCGCCTGTGTGTGGGCCAATTTCTGTAAAGTTCTATGTGTGTGCGTGTGTGCACATGTGCACACATGCAATTTATATGCACATATCTATGAAGTTTAATGCCTTTAGGCAGGCCACGCATTCTTTTGTGGCAAAGGCCTTGTCTCTATTGTCTTAGCTAGAAAGACACTCAGTTATAGCATTTGCCCAACCCCAACTGCACTTAGGTTTGTAACTTCCGGGACTCTGTCAAGAAACAAGGGATTAAGGGAAATTTAAGGGCTTTCTCAGTTTTTATATATCAATAATAGTAATTATGGGTATCAGAAAATAAGGTAAGAAATACAAAGCTGTTATTATTTAAAATTATGTATTTTAGGAAGAGTTACAAGTCCATGAACAAAAAACTTCAGAATTTTCTGGAAGACTGGCTGAAATACAGTTTCTGCTTCAAAGTAGTGAAATACCTCTTGAATTGCAGGTAAGGGAATTTTTTATTTTAAAGTCCCAATTAAAGATTCTCTGTAACCTCTAAAATAATGTTCACAAACCATGCATTCTAAGCTAACTATTAAAATTTGGTTAGACTTAACATAGAGATTGAATAAATAATGATCCTAATTTTATTTTAGGCTTTAAGACTTAGAATGCATGGTTTGTGAGCATTATTTTGCATTCTTTTATTTCTTTTCACTTATTTTACAGGCCTCACATATGGAGGGGGCATTATTGCCTATGCTTCCACGTAAAATAACAATGTTTTCCTATGGTGTCTTGGGTGTAGGAAGGAAAATATGGTTCAAGTGAGGCTAGGTTTTTTTAATTGCTAGATGGAGAAATAGAGAGATTGCCCCAAGTATGATTTTCTGTTGTGTGAAAGATTTGTTTCAGTTTTATTTAGATCAAAGCACACAGTGGTTGAACATGAGCTCTGGAATCCAGACTGGGTGAGGTTCTGGCTGTACTGCCTACCAGCTTCGTGATCTTGGACAAGTTACTTAACCTTCTTAAGCCTGTATTTTGTACATGAATCGCTTACCACGATGCTGTGTACATAACACATACTGAATAGATGCTGGCTATTTAATTTTTTCTATGTGTTTTACTCTTTATCTGTATATTTTCCTATATGTTTAACCTCATGAGTGTCATGAGATAGCAGCTCAGTTGGTATGCTAGATGAAATTTATTTTAGGGGGAAGGATTCAAATTAGTCTCTTAGAAAAAAAGAATGTCAGTTTCAGTTTTTTCCCATGTTACTCTTTATTCCTTTAAAAGCAACATTAGAATTGGTATGTAGGTGATGTAGAACAATGAGAGGAATTTATTTCACATTGAAATGAAGCAATCTCAACTCATTCTCTAGCAATGCAGTTGTCTTAAACCTTGCTAAATAAGGCCCATTACAGTACTTCATATGTTTCGTGATTTCAGGTCATGGAGTCCTCAATTTCAAACAAGATGGAACAAGTAAAAAAGTGTTTAACAGGAGAATCCAACTGCTCTGCACTCAGTGGCAGCACCGCCGAGCTAAGGGAGGATCTTGACCAAGCCAAGACCCAAATTGGGATGACCGAATCCCTCTTAAAAGCCCTGTCTCCTTCCGACAGCTTGGAGATCTTCACTAAACTAGAGGTGCTAGCCAGTTGCTTGTCTTTGTGGTTCAGATTTATTTTCACAATTATTTTCAATGGTCTTGACCTCTTGAGGTTAATACAAATAGAGAAAAAAGAAAATCAGAAAAAAAAACTCAGAAAAACAATTTGGGTTTCTTTAGCATTTTCACCTTTGAATTGCTTTGTGGACAATAATTATTTGATATTAAATTGCATTGTATTATACATTTATTGGCAAAGAGAAAGCAAATCCGCTCGAGAAAATCATCTGGATTTTTGCAGAATAATTGAGATCTGATATACTCGGTTTAAATATAGCCTGTTTTAAGACTTAATGGTGGTTATTTGCTTACATATTTAGGAGATACAACAGCAAATTCTACAGCAAAAGCACAGTATGACATTACTTGAGAATCAAATAGGTTGTCTGACTCCTGAACTCTCTGAATTGAAAAAGCAGTATGAAAGTGTCAGTGATTTATTTAATACCAAAAAAAGTGTTTTGCAAGATCACTTTTCTAAGTTATTGAGTGGTGAGTGCAATGTTTCTCTTACTTTGTTTCTGGGATACTTGAAAAGTGAATATAGTGCCATGGACACAAAGAGTAATTTAAGCCTGCCTAGAAGATGGTTTACACAGACTGTATTTAACGAAATAATATCCAGATAAATCTCTTGTGTGTGGAGGGGGGTGGTGGGCGGTGGGGAACACTGATCTATGCCTGACATAAATAACATCTATTTCTTTTAAGCTCAGAATCTTTATTTCTTCATGAAACTAAGTCACCAAGGTCCTAGTGTTTGACCTGCTCACTGGTCAGACCTGGTCAGTGAGCCTCGGGACATACCTGTGTTCAGGCTGCCCTGGCAGGTGTCTCTGTGTGTTCTGTATGCTTGCAAAGGAGGTTTGGTGTAGAAGATACACCACAGTTACTTTCTAGGCTTTATTAGCCCTCAAAATTGGGTTTCAGCGTTTATTACCACTTTACACCATGATTTGTACTGATGGTATGGGAGACAAGTTCCAAAATCTCATTTAAACAAGGAGTGTGAAGTCTTCCTTGAATCAATAGAGCTTTTTTTTTTTTTTCCCTACAGATCAATGCAAGAACTTTAATGACTGGTTCAGCAACATAAAAATGAACCTTAAGGAGTGTTTTGAATCATCAGTGACAAAAAAGAATGTGGAACAGAAGCTACAGAAACTTTCTGTAAGATATATATGTGTACATTTTAATCAAAATTTATCAAAACTAAAATATTGGAGACAAAGAACTGTATTTAAGTAGATAAGATAGTAATTACTAATTACCAAGACATAATATTCCCAAATAACCTGGCTTTTTCCCAAATATTTTGAAACTCTGTTTACTGAGTGAGTGTGAAAGTGGCTTCCACACTTCTACTTTCACACTCGTTCTAAGGTGCTGTTTAATTTAATGTTCACTGGTGAATTCAGTTGTGCTAAAATTATATTTGATAAAAAATAAAGACTTTACCTGATTTGGACTTTAAAATCCCCTTGAAAGAGGTCTCTTGACCTTTTATGCATCTTTTCCCAGTTATATTTCTTTTAAAAATTACAGTTGAACTTTAATACACTGCTTATCGGAGGGTAGCTTGAAATGAAAGGCAGTGTGCACGGGAGCATTTCAGATGGCTGTGGTATCCTTAAATCTTGATCACTTTAGGGTAGATTATCTAACACTTTAATGTTTTGATGGTAAGTCAAGTTCTTAAGCGTATCGATGGCACTAAATGTTCCCTGTTTAATTCCTTGCTTTGATGGTACCATTCTTTTACTGACAGAATCACTTTTCTTCTCTTTTTAAAATTTGAAATCTCATCTTTTTTTGTTTGTTTGCCTTTAATTTTGTCCATTGCATGGACCTCAGCAATTGACACTCAAACCTTGAAACACAAACATTGATATATGATTCTGATTGGGACAAAGTTAAATAGAGAATAGTCTGTTCAGTTTTACGTATTGAAAGGAGCAAGAATACTTGCACCAGAAAGGAACAAGTATTTAGGAAAGTCGCGCAGAACCAGGATGGGAAAAGGCAGCTTTCCTGGTCTTGTTCCTACTGACCTTCGTGGTAGCACTACAGTATTTTGTTTGATGTAACTCCCAGGAAGTCAGAAGTCATGCAGACGTACACATGCATTCTAGAACTATTGTAAATCACCTGCCATTGGAAGTAGCTACATCTCCCCAGCCCTTCTTTTGTACAGAATGTTAAGAAGGTGGCACGTCTGTGTACTGTTTCGGAAAAGTGTCATGGGGGTGCAGAGACCATACTCAGCCTTGCCAGGAGATCGTAATTGACTTTTTGTCTTTCTTAAGGATTTCTTGATCCTTGAAGGAAGAAGCAGCAAAATACAGCAGGTGGACACTGTACTGAAGCACGTGAAGAAGCATCTGCCCAAAGCACATGTTAAAGAGCTGACCAGCTGGCTTGCAGGTCAAGAATTTGAATTAGGAAAAATGGAGTCCATATGCCAGTCACGAGCAAAGGAGCTCGATGACTGTCTGCAGCAGCTGCTGAGGTAGGGAATAAAGGTGGTATCAACACAACATGTTTATGTTTTTAACCATATCTTTATTTGTATTCTACCTCAGTACTGAGAGCACTGGAATACATACAACACACAAATTTCACAAATAAAAACAAACTTTTAAATCGAGGTTTGGCACTAGGAATATAAAAGTTTGGAAAATTCTTCAAATTATCTAATGTGGCAGATGTTCAGAGGATAGTCCAAGAATGTTTTCTGTTTGTTTCCTGTTCTTTTTTTTTTTCCTTGGAGACAGTGTCTCACTCTGTCACCTGGGTAGAGTGCAGTGACCTCATCCTAGCTCACAGCAACCTCAAACTCCTGGGCTCAAGTGATCCTCCTGCCTCAGCCTCCTGACTAGCTGGGACTACAGGTGCACACCATCATGCCCGGCTAATTTTTTCTATTTTTTTATAGAGACAGGGTCTCGCTCTTGCTCAGGCTGGTCTCAAATTCCTGCCTCAACCTCCCAGAGTGCTCGGATTACGGGTGTGAGCCACCATAACCAGCTGTTGCCTGTTCTTTATGATGCATTTTTATGGTTCATTCTTTTAATACTATAGAATCCCACTCTAATACAGGCTATTATTATTCAGATTTTATGCTACAAGTTAAATTTTCTCTCAAAAAATAAGAAGCATATATAGTAAAAACCTGGTAGACTCATAAAATTTGTGCCATCGTTCTCTTCAACATAAGCACTTTCTGCTTATTTTATATTCATGTATGTGTAATGTTCTTTTAGACTCCAGGATGACCACAGAAACCTGAGTAAGTGGTTGACTAATCAGGAAGAAAAATGGAAAGAAATGGAAGAATCAGGAGAGAAAGCTGAGCTATTTTGCCAAGCTTTCGCTAGAAAGAGGTATATCTGATCTTGTATGCAATACATTACCTGGGAATATGGTTTTTTCCATAGTGTAGTGACTCCTATAAATTTTCACTGGTATTTGGTTTTTACAGGGAACAATTTGAATCTTTGGCCCAGTTGAACAACTCTTTGAAGGAATATGGGCTTACTGGTGAAGAAGTAATAACGGAATCAACGTGTTTGATTGATAGATACCAGACATTATTGAGAGATTTAAGTGAAATTGAGGAAGAGGATAAGCTACCACCTGCTGAGGACCAGAGCTTTAATGATCTTGCAGATGATGTAATTCACTGGATAAGAGAGATTAAAGAGTCCCTTATGGTTTTGAATTCATCCGAAGGCAAAATGCCACTTGAGGAAAGAATCCAAAAAATAAAGGTATAACTGTGGAAACTAAATTTCAGAGGTCAGAGCAAACTCTCATTTTGAAAACTGCAAAGATTTGTTTCTTAATGGAAAATAGGGTCACTGTGGAATGGGCAAAGAAATTCAGATCATGGAGCTTACCAGCGAGAAGAGTTGTGATGGATCTAAAATTATTTGAATGTATATTCTCTCTTTGAGGGGACCATGCCTAGTTAGTGCCGATCTTTACCAAGTGCAGAAGAATTGAAATAAAGACACTAGGTCAGAACTGTAGCAGGTGGGAGTTTGCTAGGATGTAAAAAGCATGTATCTCAGTATGGCAGTGTCAAGGGCAGGGTTGCAGAGGAATTCATCTTCAGAGTGGATATGGATGGTTCATAAAAGGTCGTTAGGTAC